ACAAATTTCTAGAAACACACAGTCTCCAAAACCTGAACCGGGAAGACATATAAAACTTGAACAGGCCAAAAACAACGAAGGAAATGGAAGATGTAATCAAGACTTTCCCAGCAAACAAAAGCCCAGGCCCGGACGGCTTCACAGGGGAGTTTTCCTGAACATTCAGAGAAGAACTAACACCCATTCTCTTGAAACTATTTCATAAAATTTAAGAAGGAAGACTTTGAAATTCATTTTATGAGGTCAGCATAATTCTAATTTCAAAACCAAAAAAAGAGTACAAAGAAAGAAAACTATAAGCCAGTATCTCTGTTGAACATAGATGCCAAAATCCTGAACAAAATACTCACAAATAGGATCCAGCAATACATCAAAAAAATTATTCACCATAACCAAGTGGGATTCATCCCAGGGATGCAAAGCTGGTACAATATTTGCAAATCAATAAATGTGAAACACCACATAAACAAAATGAAATATCATCATATCAATAGACACTGAAAAAGCATTTGACAAAATCCAGCATCCATTTCTGATAAAAACGCTCAGCAATTTGGGAATAGAAGGATCATACCTCGAAATAATAAATGCCATATATGAAAGACCTACAGCCAACTTCATACTCAATGGACAAAAAGTAAAAGCATTTTCCTTAAGAACCCGAACAAGACAGGGATGCCCACTTTCACCACTCCTATTTAACATAGTACTGGAATACTTAGCAATAGCAATCAGACAGGAAGAAAAAATAAAAGGGATCCAAATTGGAAAGGAGGAAGTGAAACTCATTATTCACAGATGACATAATATTATACATCGGAAACCGTAAAGACTCCATCAAAAATCTACTAGACTTAATGAATTTGGCAATATAGCAGGATACGAATTTAACATCAAGAAATTGACAACATTCTTATACACCAGTGATGAACTCACAGAAAGAGAAACTAAAAATACAATCCCATTTACCTTCACAGCTAAAAGATTAAGATACCTGGGAATAAAATTAACTAAAGAGGTAAAGGACCTATTTACAGATAACTATAGGACTTTGAAAAAAGAAATAGAGGAAGATATTAAAAAGTTGAAGCATATACCTTGTTCATGGATTGGAAGAATTAACAGCACTAAAATATCCATACTACCCAATGCAATCTGTAGATTCAATGCAATCCCCATCAAAATGCCAATGACATATTTTACACAACTAGAACCAATACTTCAAAAGTTCATATGGAACCAAAAAAGACCCTGATTAACCACAGCAATCTTGAAAAAGAAGGGCAAAGCAGATATCAGGTTATACTACCAGATATCAGGTTATACTACAGAACTACTGTAATCAAAACAGCCTGGTACTGGCATAAGAGCAGGTCCATAGATCAGTGGAATAGAAAACAGAACTCAGAAATTGACCTAAAACATTTTGCTGAATTAATATTGGACAAAGGAGGCAAGAGCATACAATGGAGTAAAGACAGCCTTTTAATAAATGGTGTTGGGAAAATTGGACAGCTACATGCAGAAAAATGAAACTAGACTATCAACTTTCACCGTATACAAGAATAAACTCAAAATGCATAAAAGGCTTAAATTTGACTCATGAATCCATAAAAATTCTAAAAGAATGTAGGCAACAAAATTACAGACATCATACACAGCAGAGTTTTCTCTAATACAATGCCTAAGGCAATAGAAACAAAGGAAAAAATGAACACATGGACTACATCAAACTCAAAAGCTTCTACACAGCAAAAGAAACAACCATCAAAATGGAAATGCAACCCACTATATGGGAGAGCATAATTGCCGGTGATACATCAGGTAAGGGGTTAATTTCCAAAATATGTAGAGTGCTCGTACAGCTCAAGAAAAGGAAGACAACCCAGTTAAAAAAAAATGGGCAGAGGAGCTAAATAGACACCCTTTTAAACAGGATATACAAAAGTCCAAGAGACATATGAAGAAATGCTGAACATCACTAATCATCAGAGAGATGCAAATTAAAACAACGATGAGGTATTACCTCACACCTGTCAGACTGGCTGCCATCAACACAGCATTAAACAACAAGTTTTGGCAAGGTTGTGGAGAAAAGGGGACTCTAGTACACTGCTGGTGGGAATGCAGACTGGTGCAGCCACTATGGAAAACAATATGGTGTTACCTCAAAAAATTAAAAATTGAATTGCCATTTGACTCAGTGATCTCACTGCTAGGAATATACCCTAAGAATCCTGAAACACCAATCAGAAAGAATATATGTACCCCCATGTTTATAGCAGCACTATTTACAATAGCTAAGTTCTGGAAACAGCCCAAGTGTCCATCAGTAGACGAATGGATAAAAAAGCTGTGGTACATATACACAATGCAGTACTATGCAGCTGGATGAAAGAAAGATCTCTTATTCTTTGAGTCGACATGGAAGGACCTGGAGAGTATTATCCTAAGTGAAACAAGCCAAGCAGAGAAAGATAAATATCACATGATCTCATTTATTTGTGGAATATAGTGAACATAACAGTTTGAGGAATGGGGTAGTTCCAGAGATGTGGAAATAGGGTACAGACTGACAATCCCCAAAAGAGTGGGTGGGGGAAGAGATAAACCACCCAACTTATACACATGTATGCATAACCAATGGACATAGACAACAAAGCTGGGGACGGGGTGGGAAGGGAAGGGAGGAGGGTGTCTATGGGGGAAAAAGGAGAAACATCTGTAACAAAAATAAATAAACAAACAAACAAACACTGAAATATTTCTTGTAGCTCATAGCACCTTTACCCAAAACTTGACACCCTTTTTCCTGTACCAAGAAGTCAATATAGTTGCATGCAATGTGTAATGTAGAATTCAGACCTGTATCATTGAACTAAGAGCAGTAATTTCTTTTTAGTACCATATTGTTTTGATGACTAACTTTATAGTAAGTTTGGAAGTATGAGTCTTACAACTTTGTTTCTTTCAAGATTATTCTGGCTACTTGGGGCCCCTTGCAAATACCATGTGAATTTTAGGATTGGCATTTCCATTTCGTCAGAAAGGCCTTCAGGATTTAGTTAGGGATTGCATTCTATATATCACTTTGTATTGCATTGCCATCTTAACATTATTGTGTTCCAACCGATGTATACAGAATGGCTTTCCACTTGTTTAGCTCTTCTTTAATTCCTTTTTCAGCAATGTTTTATTTTTAGTGTGTAAGTCTTGAATCTCCTTAGTTTTATTTATTTCTTAGTATTTTTTTGATACTGTTGGAAATGGAATTGTTTTTTTAATTTCAATCTGATTATTGGTACTGCATAGAAATACCCCTTGTTTTGTGTTGATCGTGTATCCCACAATTTGGCTATAATTGCTTCTTAGATCTAATGTTTTTTGTGAATGGATACCTTTGGACATTCTATGTTTAAGATCATGTCACATGCATTAAAAACAAAAACAAAAACATTTTCCCACCTAGTTTACCTTTACACCAGAGTTTTCAAGTTGCAGGTCAAAAACTGTTAGTGGATTGTGAAATCAACTGCAGTGTGTAAGTTTTGTTTTGTGAAATTTTTGTGTATAAAACATATATGCATGTGCTTAAGTACTTATATAAAATGTATTTCTTACTGTGAATTATAGTAAAAAATTGTATGCCATATTTCACAACATGTAATTAGAATGTAAATATGAAATTAATTGGATAAAGGTGAGAGTCCTAGTAGTTGCTTTTTGTTACCTTGGAAATTAAAATTCTACATTGGAAGCTGTTTTCTGGATACAGAAATAACTGTTTGTTGGTAGCTTTGTGAATAATAACCTTGTGAGGTTTTTGCTTTTCATGCTTCCTGATGCATTACTTCTTGATCTATTTTTGGTACTGGAGAAAGTTTATTACTGAAACTTGAGATACTCTCTTGAGAATGTATTTTATTAAAGATAGTAATGCAACTATTAAATTGCATACAATACTTGTTATAAATGAAAATAACGAAGTCATATTATGAAGGATATTACAATCTACAAAGATATATTTTACTCTTCAATAGATAGAAATTATCTATTATCAAAGTATAATAAAATGTATATTTTTACTAGTATTAATGTCAAATTTACTGAATATAGTAAAGAATTCAGGGAAAACACAGCTTTTTAATGCATATCTTAAAACATAACTGTTATACATGGATAGAAAATAATTCCTTTATAGAAAGATACAATTATTCCTGGGCACTAGATTCTTGGTAGGATATCTTTCCAATCTAATAAATTGAATGGTGTTTGAATTTTCTAAATTGTTGTGTGTGGTATTAAATTGCATCTAATACTATAAGTAATTTTGTGGGAATTATGGGTCATGTATATTAAAGGACATTAGGACCGTAGGTATCACCAATGGGGTTGTGTTGCCCTCTGTTTAAATGTCTTCATGACATTCTTTTTACTACATTACACCACTCAATATGTATTGGAATGATACTGGCCTTCAGAATCCAATAGAATTGCGTTGAATTCCCCTTCTCTCTCATGTCAACTTTATGACTATGGGCAAGTTCACTTTACTCCTCTTAGCCTCAATGATCTTTGCTATAAAATGGGGATAATTCAGGGTTACATTGAAGACTAAATGCTGTTGTGCTCTGTATATGACATGTAAAATGTAGTTCCTGGCATGATAAGTACTCAGTAAATGGTAGCTATTGAAATACCTGAATTATAATTAACACTCAGTAAATGGTAATTCCCTTTCTGCTCCCTACCAAAACTTTTACATATGTTCTATCATTTTCAAGTATAAGTTAACTAATTCTACTAAGTTCAACTGTGTTGTTGGGTGTTTGTTAATGGACCACTTACTGATGGTCTTATGATGCATTAAGCTTGGTTCATGGGAATTGCAGAACTGCCTTGCTGTCTGATGTGAAAATATGAATATACTAGGTGTGTCTCTTTTTAAGATACAAAAAACCCAAATAATAAACAATCATTGTTATTTTCCTCTTCTGTAGTTATGTGCTGCTCATCTCCCAGCTGAATCAGAGGCACCAAATCATTATCAGGCAGTATGTCGTGCACTGTTTGCAGAAACAATGGAGCTGCATACATTTCTAAGTAAAATTAAAAGTGCAAAGGAGGTAAGTGAAAGATAAACATGAATTTTCAACATTGTTCATCATATTATTTACTTCTGGTAAGTACTGAAAGTCATTCAAGAAAGAAGCAACTTAAGCAAAATGTATTTTTTTAAATGTGTTGAATCCATTTTATAATACAAAGATTTTTATAAAGCATCCTTATAAATGGGAAATAAATAATACTGAATTGGTTTAATTAATTTCCCATATGATTTGATTTTCACCCTCTTTCTGCCATTCTTTTGTCCATTTTAAAACATGTTGGTACGTCTTTGAGGAAGGGATAAGGAATACAAAGGAGACTACACCTTTGATAATTTAACTCTTTTATAGTGGATTTGATTACATATTTAATGGATGAGATATGAATTATTCATATTATCCAAAATCTCATTTTATCTATTTTATTGTTATTTTTTAGTGTCTATGAGTTGAAAAATATTGTATGTAGGGTACATAAAGAACCATTCTAATTTATTTACTAGGTGAATTGCTATATTTTATATTACACAGAAGTTCATCAAGATTCATGAGATCTATATAAAGCATCTGGCATACAGTAACAGCTCAGTACATGATGGGTAGTGAGTATCTATTTTTATGACTAAAAGTAGTGTTTATCTGAAACACTAGTCTTGAACTTAGGATACAGTTTGTGGACGTATACATATAGGATATGTAAGGGAAGAAGGAAAATACTAATCTATATTAGTCAAATAAGACTAATTAACTCTGGTAATAAGTAAATGACAGATGTGGCAGCCAGAACACCCTTAATAAATCACCTTAAATAAAATCATTTTACATATATATATATATATATATATATATATATGAATTAGAGCTCTAAGCATTCCTCTTTAGTTCTAGCCAGGCTACTGCTTATAGTCTGTCTTTTTATGATAGGCCAATGAAAGGCTATGTCTATTTTCATTTTTAGAATTTTATAGGGTTGGACCCAAGAGGCAAGTCTTCTACAGGGTGGAAAGCATGAACTGTACATTATTTGAAGAATAATGATAAATATATCATGGAATAACTTTTCCTCCTGGACAGAACCAGAGGATGTAGGGTTTGATTAAAAGGCTTCACAGTAAACATCTGAAAGCACATCCTCAGTTACCATTACATAAATAGTAGAAAAGATTACTTTTTAAAGTTGTAATTATTGAAATTGCCTTATCTGGAGACACAAGCATTATTATTTTTTAAAATGTGTTTTTATTGATATTTTAGAGAGAGAGGAGGGAAGAGAGAGAGAGAGAAACATCTGTGAGAGAGAAACATCGAGCAGCTGCTTCCTGCATGCCCCCTACTGGGGATTGAGCCCACAACCCAGCCATGTGCCCTAACTGGGAATCCAGCCAGGACTTCTTAGTCCATGGGGCGACACTCAATCCACTAAGCCACACCAGCCGGGCACAAACATTATTTTTAGGGTGGAAGTACAGTCCTGTGGGGTTGCTAGAGTAAATTAAATGGCCTCTCTTTTTTTTTTTTATCCTCACCCAAGGACATTTTTCCATTTTTTGTACAGATAGAGTGGGAGGGAGAGAGAGGAAGAGAGAGAGAGAGAAACATCGATGTGAAAGGGACACATCAAGTGGCTGCCACCGCACGACCAACCAGGGCCGGGGACAAACTGCAACCGAAGTACATGCCCTTAGCGGGAACCGAACCCGGGTCTCTCCGGACCGCAGGCCGATGCTCTAACCGCTGAGCCAAACCGGCCAGGGCTGGCCTCTCTTTTTAAAAGTCCTTTCAACACAGACATTCTTAGAAACCATTTCTGAGCTTAAAAAACAGTATTGGTAAGTATTTTTCTACTCCAGTGAGCTATAAAAAATTTTTTTTACTCTTGATTAAAACTTTACTTTGCCAAACATATTTTCAGAAAGAGATTTAGACATTATGAAAGTTTTTTTAAACAAAAATCTCACAAGTGGAGTAAAAGGACATGAGTGACTAGGACCACTGGTGGCTATGTGGCTATGTCCGCAAGGACTGGCTAGGCCCTGCTTGAGGTTGGGTTTCTAGCCACATTTTACCCTGTCCCCTTCTGGCACTACCCTAAATTTAGATCTGTATAGATAATAGTTCTGTCCTGTTTTCTCATCTCCTACTCTATTTTCTTTGTTGACTCTTCACAACATTCTTCTCTTAGAAAACCGCTTCATTTTTAAAAAGGACTCCTCAGTACCTTCAAGTTCTTGTCAGAACACTTGTTCCCACATGGGTAGTACTTTCTCTCTCTTCCTTTTTTTTTTTTTTTTGTTGTTGGTAATCCTTATCTGAGGGTGTATTTTCCATTGATTTTTAGAGATAATGGAAGGGAGCGTTGGAGGGAGAGAGAGGGAGATCAGTTGCTTCCTGCTCGTGCCCTGACTGGGGTGGGGGATTAAACCTGCAACCCAGATACATGATTCTGATCAAGAATCAAACCCTCTACCCTTTGATGGACAGGCCCACACTCTAACCTCTGAGCCATACCAGCCAGGGGTGGGTAGTACTTTCTCTTGCTTCCCTCTCTTGGGAAGCTGCTTTCTCCTCTACATCTCCTCCATATGGATTGGGGAGAGTTAGTAATATTACTCTTTCTACTGTTTCCGAACAATTACTCTTTATACTTGTACAAAAAGTTCATGCCTGCACTTCTGTTATTCCTAAACCCATTGTCACTGTCATCTGCCATCATCTTGAGTGATTTTTTTGATAAAAGAAACTATAGCTTTGTATTTTTGACTTCCCCTCTACTTTAGTACTCTCCTTACCTGAACACACCATTGTCCTTGAAACAGCCTGCAGTCATTCCACAGGAAATCATGGGCTCTCTAATTCCACTTCCTAACTATCACACCTGCCCTTTGAGCTCTTTCCTGTACTTCACACGACCTAGTTTTCTAGTCCCTTGTCTCCCCCCAGTTTCTTTCAGTTTATCAGTTCCTGGATTCACTTTCTTTCCTATATGGATTAGGAGTTCAGATCCCTTTGTCCAACCTAGATTACTACATTACCCTCCTGCCTGTCTCCTCATCACTATAAATCCTCTCACCCAGTTCATCTTCCACACTGTCAAAGAATGATTCTTCTAGATGATAGATCTGACCTGAGCAATCCAGCTCCAGGCCCAAAACTGTGTGATCTTTCAGGCCTGACCATATGCTGTCTTTCCTTGGCAGGCCTTACAGGAGAAGCTGCCCTCCCGACATTGGACTTGGTACACAACCAGTGTACTGCACTCTGGTTTTCTGCAGGGGATTGCAAGGAGTCAGAACATCCCACTGGGCCAGCCACACTCATATACACACTGTATTTGTAGCCCAGGCACTTCTACTTGAAGGTCCTTTGTTGAGACGCTTTCCTCCCCTCTGACTTGGAACTTGCTGTTCCTAGCTTTCCCTTTATCCCTCCCACTAGTGCTCAGATTCATAAAATGGCAGAGCCTTTTTCCTAGTCCTCAGCAGTAGGAAGATTCCCCCACCTGCTCTGCATGTACTTGACCCTAGCTCAATGCTGTTCTATAGAGGACAAAATGGAACAAGGGGAACAAACCATCCTTTTTGGCCTCTTGTTTACACTGTTGCAATAAGTGAATAAAGGCTCGATTTTTACTTTCAATTTGTCTCTTTCTAATCACTAGACACCTGGCAACTCAACAGAGCCTGTTGCTTCCCTGATTAATATGGCTTTCCAGCGCCTACATTAAAACTCCCTTGTATTCCATACAAGGCCCTTCATGGTATTTCACCTGCTTGTTTTTGTTTTTAATACATCTTTTTTTTTTTAAATCCTCACCTGAGGATATTTTTACATTTATCTTCAGATAAGAGTGGGAAGTGGCGAGAGAGAGAGAAACATCGATGTGAGAGAGACACATCGATTGGTTGGCACCCACACGACCCCAACCGAGGCCAGGGACTAACAGCAACTAAGGTACGTGCCCTTGGCTGGAATCAAACCCGGGACTCTTTGGTCCACAGGTCAACACTCTAACCGCTGAGCCAAACCGGCCAGGGCCATCTGCTTGTGTTTTTATTCTTCTTTTCAACACTATCTTCTTTGCATTTTAAACTACCCAATTAAGCCCTGGCCGGTTTGGCTCAGCGGTTAGAGCGTCGGCCTGCCGTACAGAGAGACCCGGGTTCGGTTCCCGCTAAGGGCACGTACTTCGGTTGCAGTTTGTCCCCGGCCCTGGTTGGTCGTGCGGGTGGCAGCCACTCGATGTGCCCCTTTCACATCGATGTTTCTCTCTCTCTCTCTCTCTCTTCCTCTCTCTCCCTCCCACTCTATCTGTACAAAATATGGAAAAATGTCCTCGGGTGAGGATTAAAAATAAATAAATAAATAAACTACCCAATTAAAATTATTTATAGTTTCTGAATACATCATGTGATTATATATCTGTGACCCTGCACATTCTGTTCTTTCTGCCTGGACATTTTTTCTCCCTTTGTCTGTTTGGTGAACTCCTATTCATCCATTTAAACACTGCTCGCGTTTTACCTCCATGTGAAATATTCATGACCTCTTTCCAGCCCTAAGTTTTATGCCCTCCATGACCTCTATATCTTATATATCCTTGCACTTCTCATACTCCATTGTAGTTATTTGCTTATATATTTATAATTTTTTCTTCACAACTGGACTAGATGCGTCTTGAGATAAATGACTTTGTTTTAAATTATCTTTATATTAATGAGTCTTAGTGCAGTATGTGCACATAGAAAATACTCTAGAAATGTTTGCTGCACTGAATATATATATTGTGTTAGTTTTTCCAGCTGTTCTTCTGTTTGAAAGAAGTCAGTTTTGAAAGCATTTCTATTAGATACATTTTTGCAAAAATATTTCTGGTAAATATGAGAACTTTTGAGGGGTATAGATGAAGTCTTTGAGTGCTCTTGCCATTTTTAAAATTTAAATATAAAATTCACTTAATAATGAGCTTTGAGAAAGCAAGCTGTAAAATATGTGGAAATCCTGACACTTAAGAACATTCT